CTCACCCTAGTAGTATGTGTTATGATGAGTCCACTGCACACACACACACACACTTATAAATCTCCTCTCCTCCATCCTCCCTCCCTCCTCATCCCTCCCTCCTCCTCCATCCCTCCTCCCTCCTCCTCCATTCCTCCTCCATCCCCCTCCCCTCCCTACCTCCCCTCCTTCCTCCATCCTCCTCCCACCATCCATCCCCTTCCTTCTCCCTCCTCCATCCCTCCCTCCCTCCATCATCCCTTCCTCCATCATCCCTCCCTCCTCCATCCCTCTCTCCATCCCTCCCTCCCTCCTCCATCCCTCCCTCCCTCCTCCATCCCTCCCTCCCCTCCCCTCCTCCATTCCTCCTCCCATCCCTCCCTCCCTCCCTCCCATCCCTCCCTTCATCCATCATCCCTTCCTCCATCATCCCTCCCCTCCTCCATCCCTCCCTCCATCCCTCCCTTCTTCATCCCCTCCCTCCTCCATCCCTCCCTCCCTCCCTCCCTCCCTCCTTCCTCCATCCCTCCCCTCCTCCCTCCATCCCTCCCTCCCTCCCTCCTCCATCCCTCTCTCCATCCCTCCTCCTCCTCCCCTCCCTCCCTCCCTCCATCCCCTCCCTCCCTCCCTCCATTCCCTCCTCCATCCCTCCCTCCCTCCCCTCCCTCCATCCTCCATCCATCCATCCTTCCTCCTCATCCCTCCCTCCTCCCATCCCTCCCTCCATCCCTCCCTTCTTCCTCCCTCCCTCCTCCCATCCCTCCCCTCCCTCCCCTCCCTCCCTCCTCACTCCATCCCCTCCCTCCTTCCTCCATCCCTCCCTCCTCCCTACCTCCCCTCCTTCCTCCATCCCCTCCCTCCCACCATCCATCCCCTTCCTTCCTCTCCCTCCACATCCCATCCCCTTCATCCATCATCCTTCTCCATCCATCCCTCCCCTCCCCTACCTCCCTCCTTCTCCATCCTCCTCCCTTCCATCCCTTCCTTCCTCCCTCCTCCATCCCTCCTTCATCCATCCATCCCTTCCTCCATCCATCCCTCCCTCCTCCATCCCTCCCTCCATCCCTCCCTTCTCATCCCTCCCCTCCCCTCCATCCCTCCCCTCCCTCCCCCTCCCCTCCTTCCATCCCTCCCTCCCTTCCTCCCATCCCTCCCCTCCCTCCCTCCTCCCATCCCTCCCTCCATCATCCATCCCATCCATCCATCCATCCCTCCTCCCTCCCTCCCTCCATCCTCCATCCCTCCCCTCCCTCCATCCATCCCTCCTCCATCCATCCCTTCCTCCACCCATCCCCTCCCCTCCTCCATCCCTCCCTCCATCCCTCCACCCCTCCCTCCCTCCATCCTCTATCCCTCCCCTCCACCCCTCCTCCCTCCCTCCCCTCCCTCCCTCCATCATCCCTCCCTCTTTCCTTCCCTCCCCTCCATCTCCCCTCCCTCCTCCCTCCTCCCCCTCCTTCCTCCTCCACCCTTCCTCCTCCTCCCCTCCCTCCCTCCCTCCCTACCTCCTCTTTCCTTCCCTCCCCTAGTACAAACTTGCACCCACACACAACAACATAGTGACAGAACTTCACCAGACTACAATGCTCGTCTTAGCACACATGGTGAAAAAGCATTATATGAGTATTAGTCTGAAAACCAGCCAGAGGAGGTGGTGTCTTTCGACGAGGGGTGGTGAAACAGGTGAGATAAACCAGGTAGCAAACCGGGGTTAAAGAATATTTGAGGTGGAAAAAAAGGTAGGAAAAAAAAAAAAAAAAGGAACAAGAGACCGACCTTCACCAGCCTTGCTGCCCTCCCAGCATCCACCTGGTATCTTGTGCAGCCCCCCCTCCCTCCCTCCTCCCTTCCTCCCTCTCCTACTCTCCCTTCCTCCTCCCCCCTTCTACCCTCCCTCCCCCTCCCTACCCACCCCTCTCCCACCCTCTCCTATCCTCCTCCCGTCTCACACACTATTACCATCTGACACTACTCACCTACCAGCACTATCACCCACACTACCACCATCATACCACCCAAACCACCACTATCATCACCACCATTGTTTACAGATCACCTACAAAATAGCCTCCCCACATAATTCACCTGAAAGTTAGACACTGACGTTACCTGGCAGTACAGGTATATTAGGTTAGCAGTTTACACAAAAAAAAAAAGAAACCAGATGTAAACAAACAACCCTCCATCCCAGTAAACGGAAATGGTGACACTATCTTCCCCAAACATCGTCAACAATGGAAATGGCACCACTACTCCTGATACCAGCTATTTTCCTTCACCACTACTCCTGATACCATCTATTCCCTTCACCCTACTCCTGATACCCATCTATTCCTTCACCTACTCCTCCTTCTGTTCCCACCACTACTCCTGATACCAGCTGTTCCTCTTTTTCTCCTGATACCAGCTGTTCCTTCACCCTCTCCTGATACCAGCTGTTCCTTCACCACTACTCCTGATACCAGCTCTTCCTTCACCACTACTCCTGATACCCTTTTTCCTTCACCACTACTCCTGACCAGCTGTTCCTTCACCACTACTCCTGATACACCTGTTTCCTTACCACCTCCTGATCCAACTGTTCCTTCAACCACTACTCTGATACCAGCTATTTCCTTCACCCTCTCCTGATACCAGCTGTTCCTTCACCACACTCACAATACCAACTGTTTCCTTCACCCACCTCCCTGAACCACATGTTCCCTTCACCACTACTCCTCATACCAGCTGTTCCTTCACACTACTCCTGATACCAGCTGTTTCCTTCACCCACTACACCTGATACCAGCTGTTCCTTCACCCACTACTCATGATACCAGCTGTTCCTTCACCTCCTCCTATACAGCTGTTCCTTCACCTACTCCTGATACCAGCTGTTCCCTTCACCACTACTCCTGATACCAGCTGTTCCTTCACCACTACTCCTGATACCCAGCTGTTCCTTCACCCCCTTTCTCCACCAATACACTGTTCCTTCCACTACTCACAAAAATACAAGCTATTTCCTTCCCACCACTACTCACACCAACTGCTCCTTCACCACTACTCCTCATACCAGCTGTTTCCTTCACCCACTCCCTATACACCTGTTCCTTCCCACCCTACTCCTGTTCCACCACCTGTTCCCTTCACCACTACTCATGATACCAGCTGTTCCCCACCACTACTCCATACCCAGCTGTTCCTTCCCTCCCCATATTACATTTCCTTCACCACTACTCCCTAATACCACTGTTCCTTCACCTACTCCTCATACCAACTGTTCCTTCACCACCACTCCTGATACCAACTGTTCCTTCACCCCACTACTCCTGATACCAACTGTTCCTTCACCCTCTCATGATACCATCATTTCCTTCACCACTACTCCCTGATACCATCATTTCCTTCACCACCCACCAACACACACCCACCACTACTCCTGATACCACTTTTCCTTCACCCACTACTCCTATACCAGCTGTTCTTCCACCACACTCCTACCACCACTGTCCTTCTTTCTCTCCACAATACCACTTTCTTCACCACTACTCCTGATACCAGCTGTTCCTTCACCCACTACTCCTGATACAACTGTTCTTTCACCACTACTCCTGATACCAGCTGTTCCTTCACCCACTACTCCTGATACCAGCTGTTCTATCACCACTACTCCTGATACAGCTGTTCTTTCCCCACTACTCCCCTGATACCAGCTGTTCTTTCACCACCTCCTATTTTAGCTGTTCGCCCAGCAGCTGTGTAGAGGATAGGTGGTGACATAACAGGCTGGTATCGCAGTGGCTGGTGAAACTAACTGAGTATCAGGAAGCTAGCTAGTATCAGGAAATGGTGGTAACTAGTATCAGGAAGTGAAAACTTAACTATTATCAAATAATGTGAGCTGCTTCATTATCAAATGTCTGAAAGTGTGTGTGAAGGAGGAGTGAGACAATGGTGAAGGTGAAGGAAGAACTGGTATCAGAGATGAGTGGTGCCATTTCCGTGTGACGTTTGGGGGAGAGATGGTGTCGCCATCTTCCGTTCACTGCAGGGATGTGAGGGGTTGTTTTATTTACATCACGGTCTCTCTCTCTCTCTCTCAGAGGAAGGAGGAAGGAGGGAGAAGGAGTGGGAAGAGGCAGGAGGAGGAGGAGGGCTGGGAGCCTGGGTGGATGCCAGGAAGGCCAGTGAGACTCAAAGAAAGAGAGAGGAGAACGAGAGAAAGGAGGAGGAGGAGGAGGTGAGAATGGGATGGATGGAGGAGATGGAGATGAGATGAGATGGTGGATGGATGGAAGGAGGAGATGAAGGAAGGAGGAGGAGAAGAATGAGGAAGGAGAAGTGAGATGAAGATGGAGTGAGATGGAGATGGATGGTGAGATGGATGAGAGGAAGGATGGATGATGAGATGAAGGATGGAAGGAGGATGGAAGGGAAGGAGGCATAGAGGAGGATGGAGTCAGGAAGAAAGAGATGGATCTGGATGGAGGAGGGAGGAATGGAGGAGAGAGGAGGATGGAAAGAAACGGAAGGGAGGAGAGATGGAGGAAGAGGCTGAGAGGACTCGGAAGGAGAGGAGGAGGATGAAAGGAGGACAGAGGAGAGATGGATGGACGGATGAGGAGGAGGAGGGCGGAGGTGAGGAGGATGGATGGAGGAGGATGGATGGAGGAGGTGGATGGTGAGAGGAGGAGGAGTGAAGGTGAGGTGAGGTGAGACTGAGGTGAGGATGAGACTGAGGCGAGGTGAAGGACCAGTGAGGTGAGAGTGAGGTTGGGGTTGAGGTGAGGTGAAGGTGAGAGTGAGGTGAGGACTGAAAGTGAAGGACCTGAACTGAGGTGAGGTGAGGACATGGGAGTGAGTGGGGATTAGAGCTGGTGAGGTGAGGGTGGTGAAGAGGCAGGGGCAGGAAGGAACTGAAGGAAGAAGGTTAGAGACAGTGAAGAGGAGGTGAGGCTGAGACCAGAGACTGGTGAGGCAGAAGGAGGACCAGAAGGTTTGGGCGAGGTGAGGAGGAGGTGAGGATGGGGCTGGGAAGGATGTCAGGCCAAGTGGAACCCAGGAGACCAAGTGGGTTACAGAACCAGGTTAAATCGGAATGCGATAAATCGGAATGGAACAGAGTTACATTAAAATCGGAACAAATGGAGCCGATGGAATCGGGAGACCAGTGGGCCGACAAATCAGGTCAGAGTGGACCACGATTAGTGGAATCGGGTGGTGCGATGAACACGTGGTCAGGTCAGGTGGAGACACGATGGGTCAGACAGATTACAGAATGAATCAGATCGGGAACCAGGTGCAGGTGTCAGGTTAGGCCAGGCCACGATGGGTCAGGTCAGACAGGCCGTAGATCGAGGTCAGAACCAGTTGGAAGATGGGATTGAACAA